GAGAGAGAGAGAGAGAGAGAGAGAGAGAGAGAGAGAGAGAGAGAGAGAGAGAGATCATAGCACTGTCTGGGAGGTGTTATTGCATAGTGGTGTGTACACAGGCTTTCCGGCTTACTCAGCTTGCCTCTGGGAGCATCTGTGCTCTCTAGAGGAAAGAACTGCTTCAGCCTGAGGCTGGACAGCTCAGCAGATACCTCCTGGAGAAAATCGGCTACCTTGTGCACCTGGACTCAGGATCAACTTCCCCCTGTTCCTGTCTGTCCTCTGGGTTGCTGGGATAGGTGTTTGTACCAAGGGTCCATGTGGACAAGTGAGAAAGCCTAAGAGTAGAGGAAGGCAGCCCAGAGGCAGCAGGAATAAAAGGTAGGATACGAGTCTTTGTGGGAGTCACAAAGTTGGGGGTTAGAGCCTGCAGCCACGCTAAGGAAGGCCCTGTTCCAATTCAGGATGGCAGGTGCACATGAGGGTTCCTGCACAAGCATAGGAATCACCCCAGGAAAAACCGTGAAGGGAGCTGCACTGTGCCTTTAGAGGTGTGAGGCTTGGTCTTCAGTAATCTACTCAGGAAGGGAAGGCAAACTGCAGGACTCAGCCCAGATGTGCATGAAGAGTGATCCTAATTGGTCTTAATAAAAACCCAGAGCCAGATATCAGGGTGAAACCTGAAAGATCAGAGAAGCAAAGCAGCAGCCACTAGAAACTTCTTACTTCTATGAATTCTCAGACCAAATGGGGGCCGGGATCCTGTCTCCATCCTCCTTATATTCCTGTCTCCATCTCCCTAGTGCTGGGATTAAAGGTGTGCACCAACGACCAGCTGTTCCTCTTTTAGACTGGTTCAGACTACAGTTTACACTATAGCCCACCGTGGCCTTAAACTCCGGATCTTCCTGCTTCTTCCATCCAAGTACTGGGATTAAAGGTGTGTGCCACTACTGCCTGGCCTCTATGGTTAACTAGTGGCTAGCTTTGACCTCTGATCTTCAAGCAAGCTATTTTGTCAGAACACAAACAAAATATCATACAACATAAACAGTTGGAGTCCAGGAACTTATAGCTGAACCTCGATTTCCCCAAACATCAGTTTTGTTAAAACCTGCAACCTGTAGGGGTGCACATAGTCAATGTTCTTCCCAGTCTCCCTTGCAACTAACAAGGTTGACCAGTGTGATGTGACAGGTGTAGGTGCCAGTGTCTTAGAACCTTGTTAGGTACTCTTTTTCTCCTACTTTCCCACTGGATTTCAAACATGATTCCTAGAGTGTACACAGCCATGTTTGACCTTGGTAAGAAAGACACAAAGTCAGAGACACCTTAGGACCCACACACACCCCAACCCCCAGCTGCCACTTCAGAATCTCAGCTTATTTCAGCCCCATGTGTCGGCATTTAACTGAGCCAGATCTTAAGTGATGACACCCATGTTACCCGTAACTAAGCCAAGCTGCAGCAAAGGATGGTGGTGTAGCAGGTCAAGATTCTTAATCAGGAGACTTGAAGGGGACGAAAGACAGTTCAGCAGAGGCACAAGCTTTGGAATGATCCTCTGGCACTGCAAGGACAGAAAGTAAACCCCCTCCACCCACTCCACAGCCAAATTTTGAAGACCAACACTTCAGAGGCTAGTAGGGATAACGGACAAAAAGAATGTCACTTCCTGTGCCTTATCTCTTCTCTACAAAGGCAGGACACAGCTGTGGAACTTGGGCCACCCTTTGTAAGTTCTAGGTTCCCAAATAGCCATGACCTCCTAAGACAAAGCTGGAGCACACCTGCAGCTTTAGTGGGGCCTGGCTCTGTCTCCATGTCTTCTTCTGGGAGCATCCACAGCTCCATGGCCTCTGCCACAATACTGATGAGTGCCTGTGTCCTCAGGGAAGGTGCTTGCACAAACTTATGTTCCAGTCATCACTGTCCTTTTGTCTGGAAGGGCTTAGCAATACCCAAAATGCTTCCTGACAGCAGCTGCAAATGGTGCTGAGGACCAGGGAGGCGGGGGTGTGTTAAACAGAGTAGGTAGGTACTCTACCTCTGAGCTACTTCCCAAATGATAAACTGATGCTGTACAAAGCTAACAAGTATAAAGAGGGTGAGCTGGCTCAGCACTTAAGAGCATATACTGTTCTTGAAGACCAGAATTGTGTTTCCAAGCGCCCATCAGTCAGGTGGCTCAAACCACCTGTAATTCCAGCTCCAGGAGATGTGACACCTGGCCTCTGTACTCATATGCACACACACAGATACACAACTAAAAATTTTTAAAAATCTTAAAACCTCAAACCAAGTATGGTTGCTCAGACCTGTACCTCCAGCATTTGGAAGAAACAGGAGGATCAGTTTAACACCAGTCTCAGCTACATAGCAAGTTCTAGGCCAGCCTGAACTATGTGTGACCCTACCTACAGACAACATCAAAAAAAAAAAAAAAAAAATAACTCAGAGTGAGAAAACCTTTGAACTATAACATAAAACTGGGGGTGGGGTAATCCCATAAATGTATTTTTTTATATGACAAAACACAATAGGACCAGTAAGAAGGTTCAACAGGTTTGTTTTTTTAAGTGTCACACAGATCTGAGGACCTGAGTTCAATTACTGGATCACACCATGAAAGGTAGAAGAGAAGCATTAAAATCCTCTGACCTCTATGCATGCGTTCACACAAAACAAAAAAACATGGCAATGCTAAAAACACTGGTGAAATATTTGCAATTCATTTAGCAAACTGCTGAGTCAAGTAAAATGGGCAAAGGATCAAACAAAGGAAAGAGTGTCAAGGTGTGCATGCCAGGTGTGTGCAGAAGAGGGCATGAGGGGCATGAAGAAAGGCTCACTCCCTCAAAAGATGACTGTAAATCAAAGGGCCTGGAGGATACCACTTTCGATGAATTTGATAACACATTGAGTATTTGAGACACAACAGCTACCAAGTTACACATGCTAAGTCAGGCATGGTGACGCATGCCTGCATTCTCAGCACTCAAGAAGCTGAGGCAGGAGGACTGCTGTGAGTTCAAGGCCAGCTTGGGATACTAAGTGAGACTGTGTCCCAAAATAAAATGCTCATGCCCTTTAACCTAATTTTCCTACTTCCAAATTTGGGGGAGGGGGGGCTAAGGAGCAGACCTAGGCTAGACAAGTGTTCTGCCAGAGATATGTCCTTAATGATACTCCTATTTCCAGGAACAGATCCTACATGAATATACATGGTCACTGATTGTGGCAGCTCTAAAATCCAAAGGTCGCACCCCGTGGTGACTATGTAAGTTACTGTGTATAAAATGCTGTGTTATGAGACAAAACGGTCCTGAGTGCCGTTCACACGCTTCTGGAATTACATTCAAAATAGCCAGAAATTAGGTGTGGCGACAACTGACATACCAGTTCTTAGAAGGCTATAACAGGAGGTTTCTGGAATCCAAGGCCATTGGATAGAGAAAGTTCTTGTCTAAAAAGAAAAGCCAAGAACTGTATAGTAAGTTAACTTCTAAAAGAATGTTTAAGAACCTGCCTCTGGGAAGGAAAGCTGAGAAAGCAGGAGAGAAAAAGGGAAAACTTGACACTGCACATGAGTTGAATTGAGAACGCAGTATAGAAACAAAACCCTCAGTGACTGGGTAAAGCAGAAAGGGAGCCAATCAGAACTGAGCTCCCACATGCCCAGAACAAGCGCTTCCATGCCACTGGATTATTCTGGCAGTACACTGGACACCTATATATTACAATCTTAAAGGTTAGGAAATTTTTTCTGTCATGCCTAATCTAACTGCAAGGTATTAAACT